GCGCAGGATTTCATGGTCGCTGTGAATGTGTTGTTGCTCTATGTGGCTCCAGATGACATGATTGCTTGCCCAAACATGTGTCCAGGCGTACAAGATTTCGTGACCCGATGTCCTTGGGGTCGGTACTGCCGTGACTCTATCGTGGCCAGGGTCGTGGTAGCACTAAACGATGCCATTTGATAAGTCTTCAAGCGCCCACGGTTGGTTCTCGGCCCTCCTTGAGCGGCAAGAAGATCTGTTGCCACAGCTCACTCGACTCCCCAATCGTGTAGCTCAGATCCAGCAGATGCATCCCAGCTTCCTCGCCTCCCGCCATATTCTCCAACTGCGAAATGACTCCATCCAGCCCCAAGGCCTTCCCCACAGCCTGCGTTCCCGTAGCATCCAAATTCACATGCACAACGTGCACATGAAAATGATAATACGTCGGCTGATAATGCACATAAAACTTGAGCATATCCCTCTCCACCCCAGGATACAACCCTTCCACCGCCTCGGCAATCGTGCTCCTCAATTTCTTCAACCACTCCACATCCTTCTTCTTCAAATCCCTCACAGACCAAATATCTCTCCTCTCGACGAGAGCTAAGAGATGCAAACTTCCCAAAGTCCTGCGATCCCAATTCAGATCCGGCAATAACAGAAAATCATCATCGCCCTTCGCAGCATCCAATTCCGAACTCCGATACAAGACATCCTCCTGCTCCTTCCTTCCCTCAATAATGTTAAACACCCAATTCAATCTCCCCTCTTCCCGACAAATCTCCATGTACTTCCTTACCCACTTTTCATAAATCTCCTTCGTCTCCAGAACAACCCGCGTTTGCTGGAAAGCATATTTTCGAAAATGCTTTTCCGTCGCAGGCCAGATCAAGTTAATCTTCAAATCCGGCGGCGTCGGCTCATCTGCGCTGTTTTCCGGGAGGGAATGGGCGAGGTACCAGCGATAAATATCATTTTCGCCAAGGAGTTGGACGTGGCTGAGGAGTCGGGAGAAAGAGGAATAGAAGGCTGTGATGGACTTGTTTGTTTCGTCTTGGTCTGAGGTGGCGGTGCTTGGAGTGGGGAAGGCGCCTCTTTCTGCGAGGAGGAGGGCTGGTTCGCCGGAAATTGTGCCTTGAAGGATGATGCGGCGGCCTTGTTGGTCGGTGTTGAGGACCTTTTGGAATTTGAAGCGGGTGAGTAAGGTGGAGGAGGACGAGGTCTCGGCCATTTTCTCGTTCCCAGTTCTTCGTGGGCTTCCGTTATTTGTTCTTGATGGTGTGTGGTCAATGGCGAAGGTGCAATGTGAAGTTGAACAGATTCCGAAGTGGGGCCACCTTGCCGATGAAACCGCCATGCACGCGCATCATTATCGAAGTGAGCAAAGCAGCAACGTAAAGGGAATGCGCTGAAATGTGATAGTGAAGCAAGACTTCAATATATGCAAATCCTTTTCAATCATCTACTGGGTATCCAATCGCTTTTCTAGCCTACTCTATCACTGTTTGCCAACCCGCATTCCTCTATGTAGATTCGCAGCTCAACAGACCATCTATTTCTTGTTCTTCAATGCATCAATGAACTCCTTTGGAGGTTGCTGTCTGTAGCCCTGAGGGTTGTTCTCGGTCCATCTCCAAAGATCTGCGCAAGCATCTTCGAGAGTGAACTTGGTCTTCCACTGTAGTTCAGTGTTTGCGCGAGTTGGGTTGGCAGTCAGATCAAGCACATCACCTGCACGGCGAGGAGCGACCTCGTATGGGAGGTCGCGACCGACTGCCTTGCTGAATGCTTTGATCATGTCGTAGACGGTGCTGCCACGTCCGGTTCCCAAGTTCCATGCTCGGACACCAGGGCTGTTCTGGCGAAGGTAGTTGAGTGCGATAACGTGGCCCTCGGCAAGATCGACAACGTGGAGGTAGTCTCTGATTGCTGTGCCATCCTTGGAAGCATAATCTGGTACGTATTAGCATGGTTGCAATCTCTCATCCAAGCATTGGTGGCTCACCATCTCCAAACACGAGCAGCTTCTCCCGCTTGCCAACAGCGACTTGAGCCAGAAGTGGCAGCAGGTTGTATGGTACACCCTGAGGGTCCTCGCCCATAATCCCACTAGGATGACTTCCTGCTGGGTTGAAGTATCTCAACAATGCAGCGTTGTGTGCCTCGACGCTCTTGCCCTCCTTCTTTGCCCTTGTCCTCTCTGCGTTGATGTAGTCTGTGATCATCGTCTCGACAGTGAATTTGGTGTTTCCGTATGGGTTGGTGGGACCCAATGGGCACTCTTCTGGGATCGGAATCATGTTCGGAAATCTGGTCGCATCGCCGTAGACGGTCGCGGAGGACGAGAAGACAATGTTGGTGACATTGTGCTTCTGCATGCTGCGGAGCAGGCAGAGTGTGCCGTAGACATTGACATTGTAGTAGTCGAGCGGGATTTCGGAGCTCTCTCCCACTGCCTTCAACGCGGCGAAGTGGATGACATTGTCAATGTCTGGGTGCTTGTCGAAGACAGCGTCCAGCGACTTCTCGTCTGTGATATCGATCTTCTCGTACTCTGGTCGCTTTCCGCTGATGAGCTCGATGCGGTTGAGGACCTCGTCGGAGGAGTTGTAGAGGTTGTCGACAATGACGACCTTGTAGTCGGCTTCGAGAAGCGCGAGGGCTGTAAAGGAGCCAATGTAGCCGGTGCCACTGTTCGGAGGGAAACAGTCAGCGGTGCAGGGCGCGGAGGGGAAAGGTGTCCAGGTTGACAGGCTCTGGGCATGCACAATGGCATTGTTGGACGCAGGACCACACGTACCCCGTAACGAGAACCGATCCCACAACCATGTTGCTTGCAGTGAGAGTGTTTGAATAAGGAGCGAGTGGATCGCGATTAGACAGCGACTGCGGGGAGCTCAATGGAGATGATTATTTATCCCACCACCACCTCACCACCGCAACTTTCCCGCCAACGTTTCGTCGGTGGGGCGCAGGGCTGAACCGCCGCGACTTCGGGATGTGGACCATTCGCCCGCGATGCTTGCTAGTCCCCTCACCATCTCACCACCTCCGTCGTCTACGCCGACGGCTCTCGCCTCAATGAAATGCGCTGGGCAAGACAGAACGGGCAGCGAAATGGAAGTCAGCACGAAACGAAGGTTCAGAAGGTCCAGCATGGTGCCGAACACTCCCTGCGGAGGACTCGCCCTCGGCCAAAAGGTCCACGACCGATTTATAGAGGACAGAGGCGTGTCTGATCACCACTGCACGAATCGACCTAGCGCGACACCGACTCACGACTCGTTATGATTTTGCATCACTTCATATCTGCCCTGGCGGCCGTCTTTATTTCATTCGCCAAGACTGCCACTTGTCTACGCCTGATTGTGGAAGCATCCCGGTCGGCAGGAGATGTAAGGCAAGACGTGCGGTATGGCGACTATTCTGACGCCAAGTAGGACCTGAGCTCATTGCAAGTCGCATTGCAGAATGCATTCTCTGAAGACAACGTTTCCTGCTCCGTCCGGCGCCAATTCATCAGCACTGTTTTCTCAGGCTTCTCATTGGAGATTGACAATCCACCGCAGGATCTGCAAACTGTGAAAGAGCGCATTGAGTCCGTTCCCGGCGTAATTGCTGTATGGTCGGCACCTACTTATCGCCTGTCTTCCATTTCTTCATCACCTGCTGCTGCCGGCCGTGAGTCGGAGGGGCATGCGGTCCCAGACCACAATGAGACTAGCAGTCATTCTAGCATTCCCATCCCAATCGAGACTCTGCCACACAGCTTCACGGGTGTGCAGCAGCTTCACGATGCTGGCATCAATGGCCAAGAAGTGCGAATCGCCATGATTGACAGCGGCGTCGACTATCTACATCCGGCTTTTGGTGCTGGTCTTGGTCCCAACTACACTGTGACCTACGGTGTCAACCTCGCGAATGTCACGGAAGAAGCGACTGCGGCGGCGAACATGACCGGCGATCCATTTTCAGAGTGCACGTTTCACGGCACTCACACTACTGGCATCGTTGCTGGGAAACATCCCGCACTTGGCTTCGTTGGGGTGGCCCCCGGAGCACACATTGAACATTATCGCATCTCAGGATGCGATAAGAACATGCACGTTGATATCGACGCTGTGATCCAGGCCATTCTCGCTGCTCATGAACGGAACGTCGACGTTATATCCCTCTCTCTGGAGACTAATGGCGGCCCTTATCCGGACGAAGCGGTTTCGACTATTCTCACTCGCATCGCAGCCGAGGACAACATTGTCATCGTGGTCGCCATGGGTAATAATGGCCGTCAAGGGCCATTCTCCTCCGACTCTCCCGGTTCTGCGACTGGTGTGCTCGCCGTCGGTTCTGTCAACAATCATATGGTGCTGCAATCTCAACCTCGTGCCCAGTTCTCCACCTCCGGAGAGTCTCTCCCGCATGACATACCCTGGTCGCCAGGGACTCCATCGCGATTTCCAGAATCTCTTGAGCTCGCTGCACTCTCGTCGAATGATTCCATTGACGGGGAGGCATGCCACAATATCTCGCAACATGGCGCTTCTCTGCGGACCTCTGCCCTGCTCGTACGTCGCGGGGGATGCACTTTCGATCAAAAAATGTCGCACGTGGTCGCAGCAACGCAGGTGCAGTATGCGCTCATCTATGACAATGAGCCAACAAGCGCCGAGAAGCCAATCTTCGAATTCGACAACGAGTTCCCGGGCATTCGCGGTATCGGCGGTGTCTCGGCAGACACTGGCAAAGAGCTTGTGGATGCTTTGAGATCTGGTCATGAGGTCAGCATCTCCATGGATTCCAACTTCACTTTGATGCCGTACATCGCAGCGCAGAACAACGATCGTCCCAGAGGGGCCGTGTCTCCTGGTAGCTCTTGGGGACCCACAGGGCTGCTCGACATCGCGCCGCACATCATGGCACCTGGGAATGGAATCTGGTCAACAGTTCCTCGAAGCTGGGGTGGTTATTCAACCAAAAGCGGCACTTCTCAAGCGTGCCCTTACGTTTCAGGCTCAGTCGCTCTTCTGAAGCAAGCCCATCCCGAACTCCGTGCTTCAGAGATCCTGCGCCGTTTGAAACTTTCTGCAACACCAATTAGGTTCAATGACGGCACTGAAAAGGCATACAATGTCCTTGCTCCGGTATGGCAACAAGGTCATGGTCTGTTGAATGTGTCTGCTGCAGCCGCTCTACAGACAGACGCTTTCCCGGTGTCTTTGCCTCTCAACGATACCGAGCACTTTCGCAAGACATCACATATCACGATTCGAAATAGCGGGGACTTCACGGCTAAGTACAACATCACATCAATCTCTGCAGCCACTCTCGCCATATATGGAAGAGGCAATAGAAGCTCTATCATCCCTTGGCATGTCGCCAATGACACTGAGGGCCCGCGCACTTCCACCTTCGCGTCTCGTGGATTCTTGGACAACATTCTTCCGATGCACGCTGCCATCACCTTGCAACCTGAAACCATTGAGATCCCCCCGCACGAGTCTAGGAACATAAGCGTCGTTGCAGACATTACGGAATTCCGGAGTTCACGTGATCGTTGCCCGCTTTACAGTGGCTTCATCAACATCACAAGCTCTCGCGACGAATCACTTATTGTTTCGTATGGCGGCCTTGCCTGCAATCTCGAAGACGTTGCCCCTCTCCCTGATCCCGGCACCTACTTGACCGCAGGGAACTACTCCACTATTGAAGTCATTGGCAACAACTTCAAGCCCGTTCACGCCGACACACTATTCAAGCTGCCTACTGCCAATACTTCGGTTCCAACACTAGCGTCGAAGACCATCTATCCTATTCTCAACGTAGAGTTGGCCATGTACAGCCCACGGATCAAAGTCTACGTACTTCGTGAGGACGATGCAACAGGATCCATGGAAAACACCGAGATACAAGCTTATCCAGCAGACGAAAGCACGTCACAGCCTGGTGGTATGAGTCGAGCGGACTCGAAGCATTATCTTTGGCGCGGTCAGCTAGCAGATGGATCCTGGGCCGAACCCGGAAAATACACCTTTGAAGTTTGCGCTGCTAGGGCGTGGATGGCCAAGATGGACTGCCAGAGAACACTGAGATTCGAACTGCAATATCAGGATTGATTCGGTGGATTTCTATATCGATTTATCGCAACCGAAAATTGCACTTCAAGCAGACAATCTCTATACTCTCATCTAGGTTACATGACAAATGGCCCCAAGAAAAAACCGAATTGCCCCATCACCTAAAATATCCCATTGTATTTACGCTTCTGGACTGCTTCGCTCCCATTGAACCTCGAAGTCGACCATTCTCGGATCATCTCAAAATTTCTGCACTCGTGGTATTGATCGGAATCTGTGAAGGTTCGATTCGCGGATTCGAACCATTTCCATGGTATTGGAGTCAGTGAACCATGGCACATGACGGTTTGTCTGATCATATCGATGCAGTGATCTACAGGCGTGGTCGTTAGTTCGGCAAAACGGCAATTTCACTTAGGTCTGACGAATGCAATGGGTCTGATTTTGAAGACGCTGCGGTTCGTACACGACATACCGACGTGATATCTTTCCCATTCGCGATTCGTGCCCTGGGGAAAATAGTATTCGGGATCCAGGAGCTTTCGGAGCATGTTCTGGGGCATAAGTGGTCAGTCGGAATTGACATCGAGTGCAGCACAGGCAAGTTTGGAAGTGCTTTTGCTTACCGTGCAATGCAAAACATGGAACAAATCTAAGCTATTGACGAATTCAAAAGTAAGCAAACGAACGAACCTTTAACTTCTATTGTTGTGATCAACCTGAATACTGTACTCACCCTACCATATACCCAGTATAGAAGTCTTTCTCGACATAATAGTCTTTGTAGCGGGACCCAAAGGCCTCTTTTGCTTCCTGCTCCGTTATGATGAAATACCGTCCTGAATACCGAGGAAAGGAAACCAAAAGTCAGCCAAATAAATCAAATCTCTCCAACGCGCAGCCTTACCTGAAAGCAAGTATTCCCACGCAGAATCAATCTCTGCGGTCGGAGGTCCGACGTACTGCACAGAGCCTTCGGGAAATGTACGATAGGGCACACCATCCTCATCGAAAGCAGCTCCTCCAGTGAAAAGTACCGTCTCTGTTGCAAGAGCTTTACGTGCCGGGGCTATCGGCAAAAATCTTGAAATTAGATAGTTGGACTTTGTCATTAGATCTTTCTGTCTCTCTTACCGAAGTCTGTTGATCTGTAGAGAGTCTTGTCGGAAGTGATGTCGAGTTTTGTGGTTTTACGCCTCATTGATGCTCGCTCGTGTCTCAGGGACCAGAGCGATAGTGCGAAAATTGCAACTACGAGGAAGTAACTAAACGCGATCGAAAAATGTCCTCGATTATTGCTATTCCGGCGTTCATAGCTGGAACTGGGCGTGGTCCCTTTGGTTTTCGATGAGAAATACATTGTTTGCGTATCGAAAACGATCAGTGCTTGCGATGTGATGTGTTGGAGTGCCTAGTAAACAACGCGCTTTGACGGGGTGTAACGGGGGCATTCTACCTCACACTCTACAATCGCATATGTCGCCCGCGGACTACACGACCGCAAATGAGGGCAAGATCCTTGGGATCAGGCTACTCAATTCGAACGCAATGAGTAATATCAGCATGGTCTGTAGAAAAGTATATGTATATCACGTCAGAGTGACAGAGGACCAGGCTCGGGATACCGGGCGCTTCAAATTCTCCGGTCAGTTCTGAAGTTGCACGGTAGGTTTCGATGAACAAGGTTGCTTAGCTGTGGCTAGGATCTAAAGACCTACTTCTCTCACCGACCAGGATAAGCGCCTGTCTGACTCAGGAGGCATGGTCACGAAACGTTTCTCGCAAGAACTTCGGCCGCAAAGGCTTAATGCAACTTCGATGTATAAAGTCGTTGATGGAAACAGTGGCTATACGATCTATGCGGGTCAAAGGTGTGTGCATTCACCTTTATACGAATTTCATTGAGAGACACGGGGCTGTTCTGTGTGAGAGGAACCAAGGAGAAAATCGGAATATTTTGACTTGGTTATTTCGTGATCCTGCGAACGCGTGATGATTGATACGACAGAACGTTCAGACCACCTCTGAAGGTCTACTCGATACTTGTCATCATACAGCCGATCTAGGGTCACCATCTAATCGTCAATCCAGCATCCATTTTACAGAAGACTCTTAGCAACTAGCGTTAGCGGACAATGGTTGCGAAGGAGGTGAAAAGGCGATGAACACTTCGTGATCACCGCGGCGAACCCACGGCAAGGATGTTTACAGTACTGTATTACAGTGTGTCACCTGCATACGGGAAACGGCTCGCAGGGTACCTCTCGATTTTGAGGCATTTGCAACCTTTTTGGCAGTCGATTCGAGGCAGCTTATTGGCAGGAGAGCCTCGAGAGGACCTTGACCTTATATTCCTTGAATCCGCGTATGCTAACCCACGCGCCGGCTTCATTGTGCGTGGGTTCACCCACGTCTTTGGTAGATGTCCGTAAGGGGTAGATGGACAAAATTCTCCCCAGTCTCTCCATCCTAACACGCAGGGAAAATCACCAGCGCCCTGGTCTTGATCTCATCAGGGTCAAGATATGAACTCTCCGTCAAGACTTTGGAGCAGTGCATGGTATGCTGATAGCTCAACCCCGAATGATAAGGTTTTCCAGCAAGAAGCGATCGATGCATTCTTTTCCAGGAGTAAATACAATGAAGCGCATGGTTGGCATTTGTCAAGTATGTTTTGCTCTCGTCTTGTGAGAAGTCATGGTCTGATTTCGTGATGGTGCCTTGAAGGTTTGCATGTAGTGTCCAATTTGTTTTGGTGAGCAGATCGTGCGCAAGGTCCTTGTCCAGGCATCGTTCGGGAAGCCATGCAAAGCTCACGGGATCCCAGTGGCAGCCTTTGAGTCTGGCCTCAGATACCGAGGACCCGCATTCATGCTTGCGGAGGTCGATCTCGTCGTAGGTATATTGCGGTCCTGCAGAGAAGGTGGATTGTCGCCAGGCGAGAAAAGCCGTGGTCCAGGGAAGAACCATTAATATTAGCACCACAATGGCGTTCCTCCAATTAGTTAGTGGAAGTGGTGCGGTGTTTTGGTCATGCTTAAGAGTATCCTTGAAAAGCAGTGGCTTCTGATGCTCCAGATCATGACTGTTCGCATTCCCCTCCATGTGCGTCACTTCTTTATCCATCTTTCGTCTCCGTTGGATCTGTGTCTATGATAATGAGAATGCAGTACCAGCTATCTAGCTGATACATGCCTGGTTGTCGACGAACCTTCTCTTGATAGCTTTTTATTAGCGAGGGGCCGTGAGAAGTGGAACGGAGTACACGTTTCGGTCCTCCTTGTTGTCAACAGTCCCCGGTTGAGGTGTTCCAACTCACGTAATTGAACCCAGGACTTGCCCGCGCGAGCTTGTCGGATAGCGACTTGTCGGAGTTCACCAGTCAAGATTACTTCGGTCCTATAGATCAACTTCGGAAATGAGTCTTCGAGTAAGTGGCTTGATGCAAGTGGAAGTCGGACAGTTGATGATGATGGACTCGTCGCGGCTTTGTGAAATTATACTTTTCCGCAGAGATCTCGTATGGGGAAAAAGTCACCAGCTTGCATGCAGATCAAACCATCATCAACTTACGACATCTCATCCGCGAAGGCCGTATTACAACTTGGCACAGAGGACGAATATGGGGGACCAAAAAGCAAATTACTCTAGACTGTCGATGGCAGAGCCCTCTCCAGAAGAAGAGCTGGGAGGAAGTGGAATGTCTAGCTCTGACGAGCCCTGCACCGCAAGCTCTGGACGATATCGATCGATCACGCAGCGAGCGACAACGGTCTTTGCGGGAGGCCTGATTGCAGGATGCCTGCTTCTACTTTTCCTGCACTGGATTACAGCCAGCATCGATGATCGATTGCTCGCAACGTCTATCGCTTCTGAAGCTTCATACAGTCCTCAAGCAACCATTCTTAGTTGTGGAAGGACAGCATCAGAAGCCCGCTCTCTAGGCTGCCGATTTCAACTATGGTCGTATTCCTGGACGCCATTACCCTGTTACGACGCCGACCTGGATCAAGATTTCCTCGAGATGTACTCCCGCGAGCATGAACGGCAAGGCTGGGGCTACTTTACGAAGCGAATTGCGCCAACCTGGGACGACGCTGTGCCCCTAGATATTCTGCTGAAAGGGGAAGGAAATGGTTTGTGGAGCACGCATGGGCAGCACTGGTGGCATTGTGCGTATTACCAAAAAAAATTCTTCCGTACTCTGGGAGGGGCAGCCTACACTGGCAGCTCCAGCGGCGTCGGGTTACTGGCTGATAGAGATCTGAATTTTACTCATGCGAACCATTGCCAACAAGTGGTAGCAAATGGCTATACGGATCTGAAGAAATGGGACGAGCTGGACTTTCATTTGACCGTTGGGTTTCAGTCTTGTAGCATTCCTTTGCAAGCAAGGAGAATGCAGTAGCTAGGTTGTGTGATCACCGATTTCGGCAGCTGAAGCAAATGATTCGTACAATCTAGAAGACTAGGATCGTAGTCGTGACCCCCATTACTCGGAAGCGTTGTTGCCCATTGAGAGCTCTGTGCTTGGACGTGATGTCAGTTGGTTTGGCTTCGGAGACAGATGTCGTGATGGTCGGTCTCCGTTGGCGTGTGTCTTGTGTCGGAATCAAGCACATACGGATCTGAACCACTAGTACGTCAGCACCAACGGAAATGGTAGCCTCTGCTTCCACTATACCAAGTCGGCCGCGCTCGCGCCCCGATGTCTTCGCTCTCCCGCAGCGACCGGGCTCCGTTCGTACGCTGCCGTAAGAGTGCATAGCGATAGGTTCACATGCTTGCCAAATCTGGGTTGTCTGGGTATCCCAATCGAGTTCAAGTGCCTGAAGGAGCGTGCGGACTCCGGGTTGTACTTGGTCTGCTCTAGCACCGGCTCAGTGTCTCGTCTTGCACAGAGGATCGCACAAGTTGAAACGTGCGATGTACAATATATAAGAGCAGAAGTGAACCACATTGGTCTCCTCCATCTACAGCATCCAAGCAAACACAACAAAGCTCGATCTCACTTCTGCACCATTTTCCACAAACAACATCATAATTTTTCCGCTAGGTCAAGCTGCTACCATGAAGACTTCTACTTTCAGCATCTTCACACTCCTCGCCGCTAGCGCTCTGGCAGCGCCCGTCCAGGAGGTAAGTCTGTCGCTACTAAGTTGCGGATGTCCACTGATAAACGATTCATAGAGAGCCAACGGAGGAGCGATCGCCCTTCGCTCTAACATGGTGCCTTATGAGCGTCGGGATGGAGGCGAATTGTCCACTGCTGACCCTGAGGGTGATCAAAGTGCCGACGCGGTTGAGAACAACAAAGTCCATTACCGTGTTCGCCGCATTCGTCGTGATGGAGGAGAGCTGTCGACTGCGGACCCAGAGGGCGATCAAAGCGCCGATGCGGTTGAGAACAACAAGGTGAACTACCGCCGCGACGGTGGCGAGCTGTCGACTGCGGACCCAGAGGGCGATCAGAGCGC